CACGAGGATGGTATTAAGTTATGCTGCTTAATTGCAGAGGTTAACTGCTAGAAAAAATAAAAGCAACACAGCTGCTTAAAGAGACAACCATAAAATAGAGACAGGATGATCATTCCCTACCTTCATACTCAGCATCAGAAATAAGTTCTGAAACATCGATATGATTTTAAAACTATTTAAAAGACTTTGTTTAAAATAAGTAAACAAATCACAAAGTGTTTCTTTGCATAGCACATTTCCTATTGTATAAAATTTAAGACATTTCTTGCCTTTCCCTGAGCTTTGCCTTAGTTACAGAGTTTCCCTAGCTAAGCTTCCAACTAAACTGAAAAGCAGAATTATTGGTCAGATACCTGGGCTTGACTAAATGTTTGGCAGAGGACTGATGGCAGGAACCAAAAGACTAGAGCAAGCTTTCCATTCCCATGATCCTTGTCTCAATCAGAGACTGAATCAATCCTCAAATTTAATTTAAGGTAAACAAAGAACTGATGCAAGTTGTATTGGCTGGCTTAGTTCTCCACAGCAGCTCCCTTGACTAGAGATCATCACAGCACTGAATTTCACTGTCCTTCCCTCTCACCCAAAAGTTCTCTGTGTTATGGCTAGGCTGAAAGGAGATGGCACAAAGCCAACAATGCCAGCCTCGTGTCACATCACACTGCTTCGGGATTTCCAACCTTACCTATACTGTAAGAGCAGCTTTTTATCTCCACGCACCAACCAAGCACCACCAAAGTAACAATCAAACGTTATCTTTAGAATCACTTTAATGGAAGCAATACTGCACACCATGGCAGTGTGCTACGATGCAAGTTTGTGAGCAGAAAGAGAACAGAAGAAAAAAGAAAACACAAGACTGAAAATGAAGATAAGTATGTTAGCTTAGGTTAACATCTCTTTTTTCCTGTTGTAAAAGAGGGTTGTAGACAATAGACAAACTGAGTTGAGGCTGTAGTAAGGATGAAGGTGGCAGGCAGTAGTTACCATTGCAGTTTTGAGTATGTGCTCCACACAGATGTGAAACCACAGAATAAAATAATTCAGGCCTTTTAAAATTATGTCACTGAAACCCAGAGTTACTAAAAAAAATTGGTCTTCAAGAGCTGTAACAGATGACATCATCTTTAAAGCCGGCAAGTGTTCTCTCCCCTGACAAGGACAACTCCATTGCTTAAAACACCACTAAGCTAAAAACGCTGTGCACCTAGGTAGCTCCACACACAGAGAGTTATTAATACTACAATTTCAGAAGTTATTTAATGTTACAGCTTATAATATCCAGCTGTGGACTGCAAAATTATATAGAGTGTACTAAGGTAGAAAATAAATAGCTAATTAAGCAAAAATGGGCCTTTATTGCCAATATTTTTAATTTTGCTTAACCAATTTTTCCTCCGAGTTTTTATTAAGAAAAACAAAAAAAAACAAAAAAACCCAAAAGTTTCGTTTGCTGAAGACAGGATAAAGCTTTCTTTTCCTGAAGAATCTTGCAAGGAAGGTTTCACAAGTTGGGAAAACTTTGGCAGTTCTGACATTTTTTACTCTACCTGAATAACCAAAGTAAAACACTGACTAATACTGAGAACCAGGAAAATGCTTATTCTATGGTAAATATGAATTTGTATGTGCTATTAAAAAGGAAAGTGACTTAACAAATCAAAAGAGTAATTCTCCCAACCCTCTTTGTACCCCGTCCGACTATCAACCCACTCCTCCCGCCAGCAGACAGTACAAACTGAATGCCACTGAAATCTATGCTTTTAATAGGCTAATAGACTGTTACCATTCTGGATACAGGTTTGAAGCTATCCAGCTCCTGCCTGGAAAATTCATCTACACCATCTCCTGTCTCAAGCAGGGAAAAAACACAGCTAAGCAATGAGACAGCTATACAACATCAGTCAGTCCTGATTACTGCAACAGTTCTCGAAAATTCCCAATTTTCAAAACTGTGCAAAAATTTCCATACCCTCTTTTTAAATTCAAACACTCCTTATTCAAATACCAAACCCAGCATTACCAAATGGACTGCATCACGAACTGACTAAATTTGCTTCTGAAATGCTGATACAAAAAACACTGGAGAACCACAGAAATGCAAAATTTTTCTTACTTGCGAAACTGCAAATTATAGTCAAATAAATAACATCAAGGTATAATGAGCTGTGTACCTGAAATTTAATATTTGTAAAGCTAGTGGATCTGCAGAAACAGGATCAGAAGCCTCTAACATGAAGATGCTTTGAGGATAAAACCAAAGTGAATATTTATTTATTCTCCCTCTTTACAGGGATCTAGCATATTTGCTTTCTGCATTCCAGAGCATAGCATAGCTTTGCAGACATCCAAATAATTCTTTTTTTTCTGTTCTCTTAACAGGCATTCAGAATTCCTTATTCATTCTCTATTATTAAGTCAGGTAACAGCAGTGATAATGATGCTCCACACTTTGACCATGAAAGAAAGAAAAAGTAATTCACTTACCTGGGAAAATAGAAAGGACAGCCAACTGGAATTAAATGCAACCAATCAGGCCTAATTAAGGCAGATGAGACCAAACTGGAGTACGCTCTTTTACATCAAGTTTAGATGAACAGCTATACAAAAGCCAAATAAGGCCTACTCTCACAAGGCTTGTCAACTAGCATTTAATCTATTAATCTTCAATACGGTATGGATTAAGAAGAGAAGGACTACTCTAAGGCATCAGAGCCATAAGTTTCCATTTAAGCAAAAGACTATTAAAGCACATTTATGGAAGAGACAAAGGTGCTTTAATCACCTAAAATCTATTGCGAACTTACACTTTGTTTTTCTTTAGTTATGCCAACATATCGCAGCCATAATTAAGAGCTCCACTGTACAAGGTAAGATGCTCCTTCATGAAAATTTTACAATTCAAATAGATGAGATGGAGAAAGTATAAAAAAAGATAATCCCTGCCTGATAACATGAAAATGAAACACCACTCCAACATCATGGGAAAGAAATTCACATACCTAAAAGCTGAAACTAGAACTCTTGAATAACCGAAGAGCTATCCTTTCTTTGTGACAGCTGTTCTGTTACGTTTCATAGAATGGTTTGGGTTGGAAGGGACCTTATAGATCACCTAGTTCCAGCCCCCCGTGCCATGGGCAGGGACACCTTCCACTAGACCAGGTTGCTCAAAGCCCCATCCAGCTGGGCCTTGAACACTTCCAGGGAGGGGGCATCCACAGCTTCTCTGGGCAACCTGTGCCAGTGCCTCACCACCCTGATAGTAAAGAATGTCTTTCTTATATCTAATCTAAATCTACGCTCTTTCAGTTTAAAGCCATTACCCCTTGTTGTATCTAACATGTCCTTCTAAAAAGTCCCTCTCCAGCATTCTTGCAGGCACCTTCAGATATTGGAGGACATTTCAGATTTATTAGCCACATTAGGAGATAACAGTTCCTGGAAAACTGACATAAAAGTGGGATATGAGTGAAAATACTCTAAATTCTTGCAGAATCATACCAATTCTCTGAAGACAGAGCTCAAAGCAAAGAACTCAAAGCATGTATTAACTATTGGCCCTTTACCAATATTGCATGTGTTACTGCTCCAGACCAACTTACTGTTTGAAATTAAAATGAACAGATAAGGTAAGTGAAGCTCAGACAAGAGTAATTTATCCCAGGATACATCTAGAGCTTCTTTAACAAAACCATAAGCAAGCATACAAGATCACCTTTTGTAAGAGCCTGAGCATCCAAAAAGCACTGCAATAAAGTTTGGCTGTACCCTTTAGCTATAAGATTAAGCCCTGTAATGTAGTTTTTCTATTCACTGCAGAAGTTTTTCAGCATGCATGACACTGCACCCCATTTCAGCAGAACATGTAATTCTTTGCTGAAGCAGTCTAGGTACAATTCAAAGAAATGGAACAAAAAAAACCCCAGCTCTTAAAGAATTGAGTGTTGTTACAATTTTACAACTTTATGATAATCATTTTCACCAGTCACTCTTGTTTCTGCTCCCTTGGTTCAGTGAAATGACCTTAAAATGAAAACCAAGGCTTACTATAAATTGTTTTTTTCTCCAATGGTCAGAATATTCAACCTAATAGATAAAGTTAGTCAGCATCACATGACACAACTAATTTTTCCTCTCAAGTTATTGCTGATAATTGCGCTGCCCCAAACAGCAAGGGCTGCCGAACATTATTTCGTACAAAGTGATTATTAATGGTCATATTACTTTAAAATATCATTTCTTAACTAACAGTAACTGAAAATTTTATTTTTTCACAGCTTTTTTTTCATGCAATCAAGAATGACCACCTTCTAATACTTGAATGTCTATAATCAACTCCAAGAGCTTTTGCCATGCTCTTTCTCTTTTGTTTTGCCATTGGATAGATACACTTGGATGTCTAGAGGCATAATCATTTGACCACATCAGAAAGTCCACAGTAAAAAGCTTCTGTATACTCATAGTCATACTGGAAGAAATGAAACAAAACAATGCCAATACTCATGCTGCTTTATTTACAGTTCATCTCCAGAGCCCTTTCAAACTAACACATTGCTTTCTTGCAGGATTATAATATCATGTGTTAGGCAGCAGCTGATAACACATGGAGTGATAGCGAACTTTTGCTTAATACAAATGCCAAAACGAATAAAGAAAAAAATGATGGGCAAGTTAGTGGAAAAAGCTGTAAGGCAAGTCAATTTTTTAATTAAAAAAACTTGCGTACCAGAGAATGTTAATGAGCCAAAAGTCCCCTGAGACCACTTTAACACATTCTGCACTATTTTGACGCCCTTGCTAAAAAAACTGCACTGTTCTCACTCAGATCTGGTTGAAGATACAATCTTTTTTCAATCTCATAGCAAAACTTGAAATCTGAAAGTATCTTATTCTTGGGGTTACTTCACTGACCTACTTTTAGCCACTCAGAGTTATAAAACTAGAAGTAGAGAAGACAAAATGATCAGAAGTCATGAAGCAAAAAATTTCAACGATACCTTTAACTTCTTCATAAATGCTATCATCTATAGGTTCACTGCTCACTTGTCCAACATCATCATATTCCTCTTCTTCCTCCTCAGGAATAGTATTAGATTCCATATCTATGTAACAGTAGTTTAAAAAGTTAACATTTACTAGAAAAGAATGCCGAAGCAGAAATTTATGCCAAATACAAACACAATTCTTCTATCACTTGGTGCTTGCAATATATTCTGGTTATTTTCTTATAACGTTCATAAGGGAGAGCTTTCAAGCTAAATAGTATTCTTTGAGAAATGCAAAAATCTTGCAAAAGAAGAAAAGACATATAAAAGCTACAACGTGACTGAAAACTAAGGCTTGCTATTCAAAACTTGGACAAGCGGGAATACTATATATACAAGCGTGACAGATATGTTAATGGACAGAACTACCACCACTAAGCAGTACTGGCAATAAAGGCTACTGCTCTACTGGATGGCTTACCTTGAATTACAAATTTGACTTGCTGTACCCATTCCTCTGCTTCTTTGGGAGTGGCAGCTGTAAACTATTAAACATTTATTAATAACTCCTAGCAGTAATGACAAAAACACAACTACAATTTCATTAGCAATAAAAAAGAGGGACTGTAGCAATCTCGTCACTTCCTCAAGAAACCATTAGTAATTCTTTTCATGTCTTCTGGTACTTTTCTTGCAAGGATGCTTCTTATAATGTACAGCTAATTTTGACAAATTTATGTAATTGAAGGAGAGGATGATGGATTTGAAACTCTGATCAGCAGCTGGCAGCTGTGCAGAAAAAAGCTGCTTCTCTTCATCAATGTCAAAGCCAGAACTGATGAACAAAATTTGCCCTTGACAATTAGAAGACACCCATGAATTTCTTTAGACTGCTGGGTACAGTTTTCTTAAAAATGTTCTTGTCAGACTCCAACACACTACCTGACAGCTTAATTAACTGGCTTTCAACTGCAATCTCAGATATTTAAAACTTATTAAACTTACATTCCATATTGATGTCTAGCTGATAGATCTCTGAATTGCACAGCTGATATGTGCCTTTACGTAATTTTCCTTGCAAAGCCATGACCGATACAATATGTATTTAACATGATATATATTTGAACTTTTTTTACTATTTAATTAATCCAAGAAATCACGCAGATATACTATACAATAGACATTAAAATGCTAACACTGAAATAACCAATAGATAAAGATGATAGATTTCCTTGCTCTTGTCCAAAAAGATAATATTTGAACACACATATACATATTTTATATCAGATTTTTTTCCTAATATATGAATATACAATATAAGAAAGCAAGGGTTTCCTTTTTTCATTACGATCTCAGTGAAAGTTGTTTTACCAAAATGTTAATTCAGTAACTGGAATTGTAACGGCTTTATCAATTTAATTTCAAGTCAACATTAAAAAGTCCAACCTGATAAATGCGCTTATCAGGAGCGGAGATTTCAAAACAGCAATCTTTCTTTGCATCCTTACGAAGGCTATTATTCATTTTGATGGTGTAGCCCTCTAAGGCAAATTCACCTTTCTGTTGTTTGTCTGTTGGAGATAAAAAACAAAGTTAGAGCTTCATTTACAACAGTGAACGTAAGTGGCTCAGCAGGTTATCATTTATTCAGATTTTGTTTCCTATTTCATGAATTTCACTAAGAACAGGGAGTTCTTAGCAAAATGATTAAGTGATACTTCTGGAGATAAAGCTTTATTTTAAAGGAAGATGTACACAAAAGTACATTTTTCTGTAGGATGCCTAAGGAATTCCACAGGGGGATGTTTGCAGATGGTGGTCTTGTTTAGTAAGAAGTGCATGTTATGACACTTGTATCTAGGGAAAGCCAAGAACTGGAACTTGCAAGACACGTTTCCTATAAATCAGTGTCTCTTTCAGGTTCAGTAAACCAATGGGAAAACCTGTCTAGCTCAGAATTTGCTGAGCTCCCTCCTGAACTAACCACCTCACTCAAAAAACAAACGTCAAACTCCTTTTTAAGCAATTGGAAAACCTTTTCACGTTCTCCCACCCACTCCCAGATGTGCCTCCTTTCCACATGGCAGAAATACAGAATGAATTTTGTTACAAATTCAAGTGTGCGTTCCAAAAGCATTTCTCTCCACACAGCAAATGTTTAATTAGCTAATAAAAGTACTGAGCCCTACCACAGTTTATTATGTAGAGCGATGTGGTTGTTTTAAAGACAATTCTACTTTTCAAAGGTTCTGGTTTATAAAAGTATCACTTAGAACAGGCCTGAGTTTAAATATACTGCACGTTGGCAAGCAGCACCTGTGTGCTCCTTCTGAGCTCTTCAGACCAAATCTACATCTGATTTTATGTGCTTTGGCATGTTCTGCTGAATATTAAAAACAAACCAAAAAAGTAAAAATAATTTAGTTTTGCAATTTCTGTAGATCACAGTGCAGCACTGAAGTGAAGATAGGCATCAACAGTCACATTTTGCTCATGCAAAGAAAGTGCAGTGGCAAATGAAAGAAAATGCAATTAAGTGTGGGGTTTTTCCACAGCAGAGAAAAGCATTAATTAACAACAAATATGGGGCACAACAGCAAAACTACTTTAAGTATTGCTGAACAGAACTTCAGTGCAAATCGAGCAGCCATTGCTTATATTTGTCAACAAAAGGAGAAAACTTCTAGAGTACAGAAAACAGAAAAAGCTACAATTTCAACATAATTTTGTCATCCTTCTGGAAATTTCATAGGAAAGCAAATCTTTTTTCCATTCTTGAGAGGGCAAAAATTGGCTAACACAGCAATGTGAACATCAATGGATGCAAGAGCAGTCACCATACAAATACTCTTGCTAGTAGTCTTACATGCACATAGACTCAAATTCTTTGTCCTCCCACCTTTTTATGAACTCCCACCCAGGGCAAGTAAATACCAAATAACACAATTATATGAGAAAATCCAACACAATTATATGAGAAAATCCAGGGCACTGTTCTATTTCCTCTTCTAGTCCCTTCCCCCACAGTAAGTTTTATTATGTCTTCATTAAGTACTAATGATACAGTACTAATATTTTATATTTGCTCAAACCTCTGCCCCTATATCAAACGGCACACAGAGGCAAAATTCATGGAATTGCACCAAGGCAGATATTAGAAATAATAACTTGCCATAAGTTAACTATGTCCCCTTTTAATGAAATTCGTTTCTGCCTAGAAATTTTACTGTTCCCTCACTTGTGACCTCAGGGAGAAGACCAAGCGAAACACATTCATTTCTGACTCTCCCCTGCTGAAGGTTTATCAAAACCCAAGCAGATAGCAGCACGAATACAAAATAAACAAACACCACGTTCAAAAGGTAAAACATTTTGTCAAGATAAAAATGAGGCAAGTATTCAAATTTAGTCTCTTGGATTATTTCTGAGACTGCTTCTCCGTGACATGGATTGTCCCCTTTATGGTAGTGCAATTTTGCAGTGCTAATCTCAGATGATTTCTACAATCATACTCGCTCTTTCAAAGAGCATTACAGATAAAACACAAAGATGCTGTACGTTGCACTGGAAGTGGAATGCAGTACGTAGTATCCATATTGCATTTGGTTGTTTTATTGTTTATACTGTCTTTGCCTTATCTCTCTGAACATGCCGTTCCAGTGCTAATGAAAATTACCTGCATGCACTACCAAAAAAAAATCTCCTTTCCTATTAAATTCTTTCACTGACCCTTACAGCAACAGACTAGTCACAGCATTGCTACTTTTGCTTCTAATTGTCTGTACAGCAAAGTACCGCTTATTGAAGTCCAGTGTAGCATTATGCATATGCTTAAAATGTTGACCATGGGGAAATTCTATGACAATAGGACACTTCACAGCCCTGACCCAGGACCCATTAAAGCTGAGAGAAAGACTCTCAGTATGCATTCACACTCCCTGTGGCAGCAAACCAGAGATAAGACCTAATATGTCCTGAGAAATTGCTCCACAAATATAGAATGGCAGGACACAGGTCAGCTATAGCTCACCTGCATGCTCTGACGGTGACAAGCAATGGAGGTCTACAAATCCCAGTCACTCTTGCAGAATACACTGTTCCAGGCAGGACTGAAGACCAGCCCCACCACCTGATCACCGTGGAGCAAACCGTGACCCATGGTGGCTGTTTGGCCAGGCACAGTAGTCAGGTGCAGGCTTGATGGCTCGGCCACCCTGTGATCATCAGACTCACTGATCATCTCAGCTTCATTTATCAGCTACACAGGTGTGCAGACAGACTTGGGCTTTCAATTTAAAGCTGCCATGGGAAGTTAGTGCCACAGTGACTTCTGTGAGCTTCCACATTCAGAGTTATACCATTTATATCAGAAATATTTTCTGGAGATTGTGCTTTAGGGAGAGTTAAACAGGTTTGGGATGTTTAAAAACTTAGAAGACGCACAGATTTTACTTGCAGGCTTAAAATTAGATATAGTTGGTTTTTATGGCGGAGGCCTTAAAATTAGGTTCAGGAAGCATATTTACATTACAGAGATTTCACTTTCATTTTGAACCCTGAATCAGAACCAGAGCTTTGCCGAGGCAGGAATGAAACAGCATATTTAGGAGGAACTAGGGAGAGACATGCGGTTGGAACGCACTTCTCTGAAGAACGATAACATTCTTGCTGCCTCTTATTTTCTCAAGATAAGGCTTAGCAATTCAACAACAGGAAACTCTTAATTGTCCCAGAACCACACAGAATTGCAAAAAGTGTAATACTATCAATCTTGTAAAAACAAAAAAGGATCATGAACATCATCAAGCATAAGTTATTCCACAATTAAGTCAAATCTCATTTCAGAATAAGCTGTTCTTTGCTCTCATCTCCTCCTCCTCTTCCCTTCCCCCCCATGTCAGGCACACAATAGAAAAATAAATGTGAGTCTGTGTAGATCATTTTGCATCAGGAATTTAGAAATTTAAAAAGCTAATATAATAGAGTGGAGAGTCAGACACTAAATATTAAAAAAAAAAAGTCAAAACTAGTATGCAGATATCTGAGAGAAATAAATGTGGGGGGCTATATTTAAAATAGACAAAATACAGTTCTGAATGAAATTTGAGAGCCACTTTGAACATTTTTCTTACATATAAACTCCATTCATCCTAAAAATAGTGAAATGTTGTTAACAACGGAAACAGGGCCAATATTATATTGGGAAAAAAGAGTCTCAAGGGAAGCAGAAAAAAGCATTTTGAAGTAACCTTGCGTAACTGAGTCCAGGGGAACTTTAAAAACAAAGAAGGGTAAACCTTCAACAGAGTCTTGAAATGACTGGGTTGTAAATTTGAGGCCTAAGGCGATGTGCCCATATTATTAGCACATGTAAAAAGACTTAGTGCATTCTGAAGAACAGAGAGGACTTGGATAGTAGAAAGGAAAGAAGTTACAGAGAAAGGCATAAGGAACAAAGGCAAACAGAAAGATTTCAGAGTGATAAAGTATTTATAGATACTATTAGAATCTATAATTTAACTCTCTTCATCTTGAAATTAGGAGCCTGTAAGATCTTACAGTTTACATGGCTTCACGCTAAATGTAGTTTCACATACTTCTTCATATGCAGGATGTCTGCTTCCTAAAAATAGTAAGTATCTCCAAAATGGTAATTCCTTTTCGAGCTTTTGGAATAGCCCTTTCTAAATTAATGCATAGGAGTTCTTCCCTTTTTGAAAGCGGACCTGAAATGCAATCAACTTTTTTTCTTTCTTTCTTGCCTTTAATCTAGTCCTCTGAGAAATCTAGATTAAAAAAATTAAGAAACGGAGGCAATGACTGAAACACGCTATTTAGGGCATCAGTTTGTTTATATCCAGTGTGCTTATACTCAATAGTTATTTTTTAAATAACGCATTATTAATGGCAAGTGTGTCTCTCAAGGTCGGAACTTAACGTTCCCCTAGCAGAAGATTCAGTACTCATTAGAGAAATGCCTTTGATTGCCATCACCCTGCTACAACAAAGTCCTATTGAACATTCACAATTCCTGCAGATTTCAGTTATGGATCCTGTCAAAAGTAAAGTCTAAACTAAACAAGCATTTTTGCCTTTCCTGCATGGCTGTTCAGAGAGAAAGGACTAAGAGAAGGAGGTCTGTATCTAAAAGGAAAATGATAATTCATCAGCTTTCCATTGGGTTTGTATATCTTTCCTCACTCCTAGAAGTACAAATTTGCAAGCTTAGCATGTGGCAGAAATTCCAGTAGCCTAGTTAGGTGAGTTACTAGGACAAGCTTGCAAATGCAACTCTCACTAGGCTTCTCTCTCCCTTAATATTGTTCGGTTACCAAGTTCTTCAAAAAAATAAAACACAAAATAAAACCCCTCTTTTGCACAAATAGAAGTAGACCATTCATTGGCCACCACTATCTTACCATTCAGAGAAATCCAAAATGTTCATGTCCATGTTAAAAATAAATCAACAAATAAAATTTTAAAAATAAACTCAGACTTTTCTAAAAGCCTCTGAATTATCTCCCTCTTCAACATCATACTACTGGCAGGCAGGCAGATCCCATTTCCAAGTTATAAAAATGAAAATAAATTTTAAGTGCCCATTAACAGGGGGAAAAATTACCATGATGTTCTCAATTACTGTCTTGCTAAACATTTAGCTGATCTCTCTAGTTTGCTGAGACAGAAGGACATATAACATCGTGGCCTAGTAAGGAAGAAGTAATGAAGCCATTAATTCATTCATTTATAAAGCAACAAATTAACTTTCCTTCTTCACATGCACTTGGAGGTCTGAAAGGTTACCCGTACCATCCAGGTGCCTGAGTATCCAGGAACTGCCAGAAATCATACAGAAAAACGATACGCAAACAAGGTACCCAATTCAGGATGCAACTGCATGGAAGCAAAGAAAAGAAAAGAGAAGGACTATAAAAGGTTTATGGAAGGAAAGACTACGAAAAGGAGGACCAGACAAGCTTCTGGAAATCCAAGCCAGCTCTGACATTTGAACATGCTCTCTGCAATGTTGTTGGCCACGTGCTGGCAACAGATATTGCAGCACAAGCACCAATATACACACCCTTCTGGCAACACCCATTTCTGACATGTAATTAGGTCAAACCTTTAAGCCTTGTTCCTCCCCACATATCATTGATCAGGGAAAAAAAATGTAGGTGATTCTCTTAGACCTGTCTATATTGCAGGGATAAATAACATTGTTCCACTATCCAGCGTGGCACTAAATGTACAAGAAAATAGAGGGGGAAACAGGGAAACAAGACATTCATTAGCCTGCAGGCATCACAACTGTGAAAAGGATGCTTGTAATCTCTTAGGTGAACACACACACATACACAAACATACAGTCATTTACTGTATTTTCACAGGCTTTTAGCTTATACTGTGTTGTCTTAGACTAGGCCTCACATTTTTCATCATTCAGCTCTGAATAAATGATTCTGAAACTTTTCCTTACATGTGTTTGTGAGCTTTGTACACTTCCATACTTCTTGCTTTCCCAAGGTAAACGGGAGAAAGTTGGAAGCACTAGCACTCCGCTACCTTTTAAAAGTGACACTGGCAGCAGGACTGAGCAGGTATGGAATCCCCCTCTCCCTCATCCGTCTTCAAACCAGGTTCACTTCAACAAGGGGGAATTTTCCTGTTGGGTGACTCCACCCTGGAAGCGGTCAGAAACCAGGGCCCAGTTGACACAAAACATCTGCAGCCATTGCACAGGCTAGGGCAGACCAACATCGTTTAGACAGACGCCATCCCAGCAGCTCAGGAGGTGGCAGCAGTTTGCATGAAGCCACCCAAACGCACACTTCACCGCTGCTCCACAGTTGGTGAGAACGCACCTTCCATTTTCTACGTGGTCCAAGTTATCTGGTACAGCATCAAGGGTCACAGCAAAAGAAGAAGGGCCCCAATACGACACCGTACTGCAGCAGCTACTGCTGCTAGCCATGAAAGTGGGAGTGAAAATAGCTTCAGGTTTTTTCCAGTAATTAAATGCCAGATCTCCTCAGGATTGTCTCATTGCACACCTCATCCATGCTGACAATCGGCAGCTAAACAGCATAATAATAGCATATATGTTCACAACCATCAGTAAATGCAACAGCTCAGTTTCAACAGCAAACTAGTCTGCCACGGAACTAAAGCAATCCCTGGCATCCAGCTACGGCGTAATGATGACCCCCATGGAAGGGTAGGGTGGAACTAGTTGATCTATAAGGTCCCTCCCAACCCAAACCATTCTATGAGTCTGATTCTATGGCAACTTGCTTCTGCACTGCAACAGGCACTTATGTATTATGGCATCAGACAGCTGAAGAAAGTACCTCTGACCAGCCTAGAAAAAAAAATTCTGTGAGTTTTCAGAATTCTGTGTATGTTTTCAGAATTCTGTGATTCTGTGACATCACTTTGAATTTTTAGAATTCACAGTCAAATAAAACATCCTTTAAATTTTGTGTGCCAATTATATTTGGTGTTTAAGGGTAAAAAAAATGGTACAGAAATATATCTGAGTAAATTTTACAAGTGCAGTTATGTCTCCCCCACATACTTATTGCTGGGCAAACTAGCAATGCAACTAGTTGCTACGCAACTGTCCCAACATTTATGCCAGATTCTTTCTGAATGGCCATTAAAAGTTAAAAGTCACCTTCAGAAGCTAGCTTTAGTCTATATGATTGGCTTTTAGTTATATACATTACTTCATTTCTAGCTTTTTCAGAACATAAGCTATTTAGAAAGAAACACAGAACTCCACCATGTAGTTTTTAGACCAACATCTTCCAGCATAGAAGCATCTTTAAAGAACTTGGCAGGTAGAATTGCTAGAGGGTGTTTTAAAATCAAAATCCTATTTGGTCAGAAAGAACGTTTTCTGTCCAGTAAATTCATTGAGTACCAGCATACTATCAAACCTAACAGCCAGCTGTTACTGGCGCACAAAGTAGCTTAATCTTTACAAGTAACTTCATCTTTTTTCCTCAGTTTCTCTGCTTTAGAAAATGAGTACATCACTTACGCATTCTGAAGTACATTTATACTTTTTAAAATTCACAGCATTGTTTAAAAACCAACTGTTTTTTCAAGTTTCATTTGCTTTCTTAAAATGACCTTAGAGTCACAGTTTCCAACACCTCTGAGGCTTTCATATTCTTCTGTGCATTACAGATCATTTTTATAGTTTATCATAATTATTATAATTACCTTTGTCGCTTCCATAATAATAGAAGACCGTCTTACTGATAGCACACCAACGCTTCTGCCATTCAAAGCCGAGAAAACTGTGGTCTGCAATTAATACAATTTGTGTATATAATTTCTGTTCAATAATGACATGAAGTATGTTACTCCTTTTCAAGGGTGAGGTAAGAGGGAGAAGGAGACAGGAAAGGTGCTAAGGAAATGAAACAAAATCTGGATATGAAGAAGAGAAATGTATGGCACTGAGAAGAAAATTAGAAATAAAAATTGGTGGTAAGAAAACAAATAGAAATTTGAAATCATATAAATAGAAAAGTCATGTGTAACATTAAATACAAAGAAATAAAGAACAACTTCCTAAATACTTCCTAGAGTTATTGCAGTATTAAGTGGTTATCGAAGTGACAATATAAGATTTATTGAATCAAGGTAAATATTGACTGAACCAAAGCTGAGATCAATATTTGCCCTCTTGAAGAAAAATAAATCTTGATGCTCACTGAAACATGAAGTCAACATATGGTACTTTTACATACGTTCCTAATGTTTTCTTCAAAAATATCTGAAAGTCTGAATTATGGCTGACAGTGGACTTTCACAGCTTGACTATTTTAGTTAATAAAGAAATAGAATTTCCTTTTAATACTACAGGAGCAATTATGTGCTATGCTTCTTTTGCACAATAATGCTTCAACATTTCAGCTTCTATTCCATTTTATTTATTGCTCCTGTATAAACTGCTTTGTGTGTATAACATCAAATACTGACACACAGACTTCCCAGATACAAAACATGCACTAGTTTTCACAAAGATAGTTAGACTTACCTTTTCTGCGTTTTTCCAGGTATCCAGCTTTCAGAACAAACTGAAGATCCTGAGCTGCAATAGGTGGAAATTGATTCCCTGAAAGAAAAGTAAGCTCTGTAAAGCAACACTTTTCAAGAAAAACGCTATAATAGCATTAACAAACTTATGGATTTTACACTCTCAATATACAGCAGCTACTGAAAAAAAGTAACTCTAGTAACTACTATGCCAGATTATTTTATGTACAAAAACCCTCTAACTATAAACGTCAAAGCTGTTGCTGCTGTCCTCACCGCTTTAGTAGGTAAAAATATAGCTGTGTAGCAGGTCCTGCAAGTCTCAGAAGGAAAAATGTGTAATTAAACAAGCTACGGCAACTTAGAAAACATTAGTTTGTGTTTTGAACGTGGTCTATAAAGCAAGTTCGATAATGAAAGCAGTAAGTTCAAATGTGCAAACAAAATCAAGTATCATAATTTAACACAATTAAATCAGGAATGTGGTTTTCAATACCAGCTTCACACAAAAACATCCTGAAACAACACACAAGGTGAGGACCCTCTACTGCACTGTCTACAAAAAAAGAAACCAGATTAAGAGACGATAAAAGGTGAAGCCTGCTGTTGACAGATATCGCCTAACTTGAAATATGACACAAAACTACTGCCTATAGGATCTATAGTGCAATACTGCATAGGCCAGAGACGTTGCACAGAAGTCAACAAAATTGTTGATCTATAGACACTAATTTTAGATTTTGCAGATCATGGTTGCATCTACAAAATGATGAGCATGTTCCACCATATTTTGACCTTTTTCTCAACTGCTAATTCATAAGTAGAAGCATAAGACCAACCAGCCAACCCCGCCTGAACTTAAAATAGAAATATAGATGTTAAAAATTGCATCTTCCATCCTGCATCCTCCCTCTCCTAAAACAACAGAATTACTATTTAAATGGAACTCCTAGTATTAAGAACAGAAATATGTTAGACATGCCTAAATTAACATGTATATAGATGTCATACTGCTTACTGCAAGCAAAAAAGCAGAACAACAGCTATTCCTGTTTTTTAAGTGCATGTGAGCAACACAGTGAAGTTCCTACTACTTATTATCATCAAATATTCATAAGAATCACTGTAGGTAGGTGGCAAGTTTACACGGCAGCAATTATTCATCAAAATATATGTAATCTCATTAAGTTCTACCAATATAAACATACAAAAAAGGACTGTTATCAGCAGACAACCTCTGTGCTAAAAAAACACTTTAAGCTATGCAGGGTGGGTTAAAGATCAATTGTCTGACCTTGAACCAAGAACACTGTCTCTGGAAGATGATGCCAACTTCCTGGATTTTTAAGTCATCCTTTAAAATAGAATTTTTCTTTAATCAGTGTCCACAAATGAGCTGGTTTATGGTTGTCTTATTTACATACTGTTGTGAAAGGAAAAATAAAAGAGGTAGGAACTTGCAGAGAATGTTATTTTTTAAAGTACGAAAACATTCAAAATGAGACTGCACTCCTTAAACAATACAACTGGCTTTTTAGACAACAAAATAGAATTTTATATACACTGACATTTCAACTGAATTTTAATTAATATTCTTTTTAAAGGTTAGGACTACACTAGCTATTATTTCAGCTTCTATGGAATTCTTGCTACTGTTTTGAAAATACAAGAGTTATTGGCTCCATGTACATGCATTTTAAAATGCTGCAGCTGTCACCCCTTGCTTGATAATATACAATCACTGCACAATGTTAAATGAGAATTTAAACACAAAGACACTGGCTGGTGCAGGGTAAGTTTAACAGCTACTTATAAGATGATCTGATGATGATATTATGAGTGGGGGAGGTGAAGAGTTTTACAAATATAGATAGTGTGCTGCTTTATGTTGGTCATTGGGAGGCATCAGTGTGCAACACTTAACAGCTTGCTTTACCTCCTCCTCCTCATTTTAGAACAGTGCATCCCCACAGATGTGGAAGACATAAAACCTAATTAAACAAACAAATAAAAGCAGTTCACTCTTAAATTTTTTAGTTTAGTAACTTCAACAACTATTTGGATCTAATGTTATACGTTACTGTTTGTATCAGTTTGGGTTTTGATGAGAAAGCTTGGCAAGTAGTCATTTAGTGAACAAACCAAATGAGGTATTCAGTCCCAAACAAGCACATACTTTGGGGACTTCTCTTAACGTTGTTCTGCCTATAGGAAGAAGCTCAGCCAAGTTAACCACTTCCAAGAGCTAGAAATCAAAATTCCACACTACTCTCAGTTTTGCTGCTTCTGCTCAGACAAGTCAGGATAAATTTGATGATGGCGTTTTCTGAAACTGTATTTAATTTGCACAGCGCACTGAAAGCTCGTGAGGAAAAGAACCCGCATGAAAAAATGTCATCTTCCACTGTTCTAGTGCCACTGCAAAAAGAAGCCATGCTCCTGCCCTCAACCTGTAGAGAAGCCAGTTTCTCCTGTTTCTCAAGCAACTGAGGCAGCAACTCCATGAAACATGAAGCAGCTGGTCAGCCCCACTGCCACTCACAGATCACATGCCTATTATCATCCTTCTGTCAGAGAAGCCTGAGAACCACAAAATACGATGGAATTTCAGGTGGATGGATAAGAGAGAGGGGCCTGGTGGTAATATCCCAAGACACATACAGCTGTACATGAAGAAAAAAGCATAAATCTGGCTAAATTCCTTCTTTCATTCCCCTGTACATCCAGAAAGAAGGGGAGGGAGAATAAGTAGTCTGAAAAGTATAAAGGAAAGAGAAAGAAGCATCCCCTCTCAGATTCTCATTAACCGCAGGTGCTGCGCATATGTGGCAGGAAGAAGGCACAAATGCAGATACACTCCTAGTACTGTTGTACTGCAACAAAAGTAATGAGGAGAATAGAGAAGAGAAGATGACATCTTCCTTCCAGCTACTGCCTTCAGTCAGTATGGAAGGCTCCTGAACTGTGTCACCTTTCTAACCTTTCTTTCATTTTTTTCCCACTGCCTTACTCTTTTGTCCACATCTCAAACTGGATTTAGAGTGAACTGCAATCCCTAGATGTGGGAACTCTCAACTGAAAGCTTGGGATTTGCACAGCAGGTTGGTTTTTGCAGTTGCTTTCAATCAAGATGTTCCTTCCCCACTCATTTGAACAGATCAGGCTTGGCACAAATCTGCTAGAAAGCAAAGTATCACTAAAGCAACACTTTGTTATAGTAAAGCAGCATTTGTTTACATTACACTAGCAACTGAGATTAAAGACTCATTAGTTGACTACTGCATGGGACTTTGAATAAAACCGCTCCTTCTACAACAAATCTATTTAACACAGAGAAAGACTGACAAGAAATAAGGCATTACTAGTTCTTTTAATAAAGCACTCTGAAGCAAATTAAACAACTTGCTTCAAACCATATACTCCTTTAGCGTTTAGAGCTCTGAATTCCCAAGTATTATACTCCCATGTACGCCCCAGGACATCTTCAGGACAAGGAAAATTTTTCCCTTCCCTCATAGATGCAGGTGAAATGGCCTGAATTTCAGTTTCTTCTAATTTCACTGGAGATTGTCCACTATAAGAACTGAAATGTAGGGATGCAAGCTAGCACCTACTGGTATTAACTTTATTGGGTGCCTCATTGTTTGTCGCTCAGATACTTACAGTCAAACTGACTACCAGATCACAGGAAAATTTCTCTCCCAAAAGCAAACCACCAGAGACGACCATGTCTTCCTACCTACTTCCTACCCCTGTCTGGTCTGTTTCCAGATATGTCTCAAGGATTGAGAAATCAAGAAGGTCAAAAGACCCATAGTCTTCCCTGGTGTCTCCTTTGGTACGCTGGAGTTTCTGAAGCCCATTTTAAATAGCAAAGAGTAAAGCAGCACTCTGAGTCAAGAAGTGTCCTGTGGCTTGCAGCTGTGTGAGTTTACAGGTGGAGAAAGGTACAACGATTGCTCCTGTGTACCCTTTTGACCTAATTTCTGCTGTATCGTTGCCCTGACAGCGGTGGGTAAGCACAGAGCTGAGGATACCAAAAAAGTCCCCTTTCCATTCCTGAGTTTCTACCTCACAAATAATGTCCTGAATTTTATTCTTTTGATGTGAAAATCAGGTCAATACTATCCAATATCTGGGGAGATTATTATCTTTCATCCCCAATATGCAGTATAAAGTGAGGGAGGTCTGTCTGCTTAACGTTAAAAATTTTCCTTCTTTCTTGACTACACACTCACAGATGAATCTCCCAGAATAATTTCTCTTCTTATCCTGGTGGGAATTACTTCAATGTACTCCAAACTAAAATCTGCAAGTTATGCTCCACATGCGTATTTCCAGACTGATGTGTACAAAGGCCATCAAACACCAGATCAAAATATTTATGAGGCCTAAACCTTCAAGTTTTAGAGAAAAGTAAATTACACATATAATGCACCAGGCTCTTCCTCTTGGTTCTAGGCACTCTTGTGCCAAGTGAGCAGCTGGCAGTTATTATAATGCTACTGCTGCCAGGCTAAAAATTCCTCCAGTGAAAAGAAAGTGAAATGCTCTCACTCAAGCATAAAGCCAGCTTTTCTACCAGTCATGAAACCTCAGAAAAACATGAACACTAGTAACACAGGTGTATTAATGTTCAGGTTCCACTTCACAAATCCCACAAATCCAGTGCATCTTGTGACTTCAGAAAGACCTCAGAGTACACCTTATGGCATGGCTACATTTTTTTGCAGCTTGGTAATCAGAAAGTGAAAAGCCTGAATGATGCAATTTTGCACCCTACTGCAATGGCAAATTTGGCCTATTACTTAAAAGCAGTTTCATCAGTGTCACTTCACATGATAAAGCATTAAATTCAATCATTATGCATGGCACTGTGATTTCTAGAGGACCCAATGGTGTTAAAATTTCATTCTGTATACGAAATAAATAAAACAAAACCAGGTTGCATTATTCTGCACTGTATACCAATAGGAATATTTTTTATTTCTTCAATGTGGGCTAAGGGATACATAAAGCAAGAAATAATCAGAGGTCAATGCATTCTAAAGAGGTGCTTAGCATGCTTATGGGAAGTTA